GATATTAATCCCCTTCAGAGTAGCTAGCAAAGACTGTTTTCCATTCTGCAGGCTCTCTCTTCACACTCATGTTTCTTTTGCTTTGAAGAAGCTTTTTAATTTGATGGCATCCCACTTATTGATTCCTGGTTTTATTTTTTGTACTTTGGAGGTCTTATTAAGAAAGTTAGTGCCAACACTAATATGATGGAGTGTTGACCCTTCTAGCCGTTGCAATGTTTCTGGTCTAATTCCATTAATTAATTAATTAATTAATTAATTAATTAATTCTAAGTCTTTAATCCATTTTGATTTGACTCTTGTGCAGAGTGAGAGACAGGAACCAAGTTTCATCTCTATGTATAGTTATTCAGTTTTCCCAGCATCATATTTGTTAAAAAGGCTGTAATTCCTCCAAAATATATTTTTGGCATTCTTGTCAAGTATCAGATGGCTATAAGTATGAGGGTTTGTCTGTCTTCTATTCTGTTCCATTGGTCTTCAAGTCTACTCTGATGCCAATACCATGCTGTTTTTGTTACTACAGCTCTATGGTATAATTTCAGATAGGGTATAGAAATGCTCCCTGCATAACTTTTCTTGCTCAGTATTGTTTTGCTATTCTGGGTCTCTTATTCTTCCACATAAGGATCTTTCTTTCTAATTCTATGAAGAATGTCATTTATATTTGATGAGGATTGTATTGAATCTGTATATTGCTTCTGGTACTGTGGCCATTTTGACAATATAGATTCTGCCTATCCAAGAACATGGGAGGTCTTACCATCTTCTCAAGATCTTCAATTTCTTTCTTCAGTGTGCTATAATTTCCATTGTAGGGATCTTTTACCTCATCAGTTAGATTAATTCCCAAGAATTTTATTTTATTTTGAGGTTATTGTGACCAGAATGGTTTTCCTGATTTCTTTCCTGGCTCAATCACTGTTAGAATATACAAAAACCATTCATTTATGGGTGATGATTTTGTATTCTACATTTATAAGCTCTAGAAGTTTTCTGGTAAAGGATTATGTCATCAGCAAACAGGCAGTTTGACTTATTCTTTTCCTATTTGCATCCTTTAATTTCCTTCTAATGCCTGATTGCTCTGGCTAGTGTTTTAAGAATTATATTGAATAGAAGTCAAGAGTTAACATATTTGTCTTGTTTCTAATTTTACAGAAAATGCTTTCATTTTTTTCTCCATTCAATATGATGTTGGCTTTGGAATTATAATAACTAGTGTTTATAATGTTGAGATAATATCCTTCTACCCCTAGCTTTTCTGGTATTTTTACCATCAAGAGTGCTGAATTTTATCAAAGGTCTTTTCTGCATCTGTTGAAACAATCATGTGATTCTTGCCCTTAATTTTGTTTAAGTGGTAAACTACATTTACTGGCTTGAGTATGTTGAACCAACCTTGCATCCCTGGGATAAAACCCACTTGATCATGGTGCATTATCTTCTTGATTTGTTTTGAATGCAGCTTTCATAAAGGATTTCTTCATCTATGTTCATCAGGCAAACTAGTCTGTAGTCTTCTTCCCTTGATGTATCTTTGTCTGATTTTGATAATAGTGTTATACTAGACTCATTGAATGTATTTGAGGTATTCTGCCCCTTTCAATTTCATGGAATAATATGAGGAAAACTGGCATTAGTTCTTTAAAGATCTGGTAAAATTCTGCTGAGAATTCATCTGGTCCTGGGCTTTTCTTTGTTGGAAGGCTTTTAATTGCTATTTCAATTTCATTTCTTGATACTGGTCTGTTTAGGTTTTCTATATCTTCCTGGTTCAATTTGAACAGTTCATATATCTGGAAATTTGTCTTCTAGATTTTGCAGTTTATTGGAGTATAAATTTTCTACAAAGTTTCTAAAAAGCCTCTGGATTTCAGAAGTGTCTGTGGTGATCTCCTTTTTCATCTACAATTTATTTTTATATGGGTCTTCTCTTTCAGTTAGTCTGGCTAAGGGTTTATCAATCTTATTTATGTTTTCAAAGAACAAACTCTATGTTGTACTGATCCTGTATATTATTTTATTCTCAATTTTATTAATTTTGGCCCTGATCTTAACTGATTCCTGTCTTCTAATGATTTTGTATTAGTTAGTCTTCTTTTTAAGGTCTTGAGGGAGAATAAAGTTTGTTTGTGTAGGCACTCAATGCTAGAAATTTACCTCAGAACTGCTCTTTATACTGTTTTAGAGATTTTGATACATTTTATCTCCATTCTTGTTTCTAAGAATTTCTCAATTTCTACTCTCACTTCAGAGTGTTGTTCAATCTCCATGTGTTTATGTAATTTCTATTATTTTTCTTGCTGTTGACTTCTAGTTTCATTCCAGTATGCTCCAATATGATACATGGTATTATACTGATGTTTTTTGTTATTTGCTAAGAATGACATTATGACCTAGGATATGGTCTGTTTTTAAAAAAGTTCCCTGAGTTACTAAGAAGGTAAATCAAATGTTTTAGAGTAATATATTCTGTAGATGTCTACTAGGTTCATTTGATTTATAATTTTCTTTTTTTCTTTTTTTAAAGAGAGAGAGAGAGAGAGTTTTTAATATTTATTTTTTAGTTTTCGGTGGGCACAACATCTTTGATTGTATGTGGTGCTGAGGATCGAACCCGGGCCGCACACGTGCCAGGTGAGCGCGCTACTGTTTGAGCCACATCCCCAGCCCTTATACTTTTCTTTAGATTGAAAATGCCTTTATTAATTTTATTTTTTGATGAACTATTGGTGAAAAATGTATGTGAAATCACCCAATATCACTGTGTTAGGTCTATTGAGATTTAATGTCAAGGTATTTTATTTTATGTATTTGGGTGTGCTGACATTCAAGGCATATGTATTTACTATCTTATATTTTCTTGTTATAAAAATTGATCCCTTTACCATAATGTAGTGGCCTTGGCTCTTCTGATTAAGTTTTGTTTGAAATGAGCTTTGTCAGATATGGAAATATGTATGTATGGTTATTTTCAGACTTCATTTCTATGGAATATTTTTTTCCATCTTTTGATCTTTAGCTTGTGAGTGTCTTTGCCCAAGTCTCTTGCAAGAAGCATATAGTTATATCTTGTTTTTTTGATCCTTTCTGCTAATTTATGTCTTTTAATTGGGAAATTGAGACTATTAACATTCAGTTAGTACAGGTATGTGTTTGTGGTTTCCTGTCATTTTGATTTTTGATTTAATACTGTCTTGATTCTCATTTAATAGATTACTCTTCTGTTGAATTTCCTCTATTTTGGAACTTTGGGGATTTGTTTTGGGGTTCTTCTGTAGGTGTAATCCTGCAGTGTAGATGATAGGCAGAACTCTAAATTTAAAGTTCTAAAAGTCAGGGTTTGGATTTGGGAAAATTTTGGAAAGCTGTAGGTAGGTATTTGAGATTTGATCCATGCCCCCTATTTCTGAGGACCAGCCATTCTTGGTTGGACTTCTAAATTTCTAGTGTCTCCAGTAAAATTCTTCCTTTTAGTATCTTCCCTTTAGCTCTTTTGGGGTGTGAGCAACAATGGAAGCTTTCTCTCTTGGAACCCAAAGGATGAATGGCCCAGTTAAAATTTTCTTTGTGCCTGTTAAAGACTCTCTGGTTCCAGCACCCTCTGGGAATTTTCTACTCAGCTACTGGTACTTCCTTTATTAATTCCCAGTCCCATCTCTGCTCATAGATGTTACAGCTACATACACCCACCAACATTTTCTGTGCTACAAAATGCTTCTCACCCCTGGGGTGATCTATTTTGGATTCCCTTTCCCTAAGTTTCACCTACCAATACCATGTCCATTAAAATCAGCATTCTTCTCTAATCCACAGGTTTCCGAAAGCCAGTATTTTTATTTTTTAATTTATCTACTTTTCAAGTGTTTCCTTTGTCTGCACTCCCCACTCTGCTCAGCTGCCGCCTCTGGAAACCAAACTAGTACAAATATATTATTATATTTTTTAATATATTTACAAATATATTATTATATATATATCATATCAATTTTTGGTGCTCTATGAATTTTTTTTTTTTACAGTTTAATATTAAGTTTCAATGAATGTCCTTAGCTACTCACCTCACTTAGAATTAGTCTTCCCACTTTGTAAGTCTTAAGTCTAGTGCTGGGAACTACAGAAGTGCTTCCTTTCTCTGATCTTCCATCTTCTCTCTCCTAACACTTAAACTTTTCTGAACATTTTTTTTTTAGTCTTACTGCACAACTTTCGTATTTGTATTTTCACAGAATAACAATAAACACAAACATAGAGATAGTTCTTCTGTTCCAGGCACTAAGGATTATTTATATTAGTTCATTTAATCTTGAAAGCCCTTTGGGAGATAAATACTACCATGATTCCATTTCTCAAAAAGAAGACTGAAGTATAAAGAAATTAAGATATTTGTCTGAGGACATACATCAGCTGGTAATATGGCCAGGTTCTGAAAATAGATAGCCTGGTTTGACAGTCTACCCCTTAACTACTATTGGTGCTCCTACCAAGTTCATTTATGAGTACTAGAATTATATGTATACATATTGATATATATGTAAGCAAAACAAACTAAGCATAAGAGATTACATATGTATGTGTATATAAATAAAATAGTGTGCATTTTAATTTATTGGGGATACTACTAGTAAGTATTACTATAAATAGTACTATAAATACTATAAGTAATTAGTACTACTAGGTACTTCTATAAATTATCTCATTTAATATCTAAAAACAACTATGTAGCAAATAGTGCAATTTTTCTATTTTATAAAATACACAACTGAGTCCTCATGTAAATAGCTGAAAGCTCTAATCAGTAGAATGATTTTCTTAAAAATTGACCAGTGATTTTCAATTATCAGAGAAAATTATTTATGATATTTATGTTTGAATACAGAAGTTTGTAAAAAATGCTTTTAATATTTCTTCCATAAAATGAAACCCAACTTCTAAAACATGCTGCCAGTTAATTAACAAAGAAAGGACTGTGCTCTGATCAGATTTCTTGTCCATACCTGCATATCTAGTTCTTGGCATCTTTGTTTCAGCTCTTCTTTCTCTGCTAGTGCCTCCTGAAGTTCTTCCAAAGCCCTTTTAAGCTGAAATATGAATCCAAATTCTTAGGAAATCATGTTTAACAAAAATAGAAAAATATATTCTTATAACATAAGCACACTGATACTAAAAATGTTTTTTTTAAATTTACTCAATTTTGCCATCTCTGTGTAAATAATATTTACACAGTCACATCAACATTTAAAGTTGAAATCCCACAGAATAAAATTTTGTGTAAATCCTTAGGAAATATTTAAAAATTTTAAGGAGGTATTTTTTTAATTCTGTCACAGAAAGAACAAAGTATATTTACATTTAAACAAAAATTTTATCAAATAATTAAATTTGAAATGTTTCATGAAATGACTAGCAATGTTATAATAGATAAATAAAAATAAACAAATGTCTAAAGATGTATTTGCCCCTTCTCTTACCCTATCCCCTAAAACCCAGATTGGATTACACATGGAAAGAGAATGGGGCTTTTTTCTCATGTATAGTGTCTTGTAACGAAACCTGAAGTCTTTAAGGTATTTCTTCAATATGAGGAAAGTGGATAGAAAGAGTGACAAAAATTATATACCTTATTATTCAAACTATAATTAAAACTTAGCAGAATTTTTTAGATTGTCTACTATTTAATTATACAATCATCTAGCACGAGCCAAATGTGCATTACAGATGTCAGAAGGAATGAATATTCAATAACACTCAACTCTTATAAAATGATCAGAAAAAAATCTAGAGACCACTCCTACTCACATTCATGAAGGAATTTATTAGAATATTCAGTTTGGATCTTTATGCAAGTACATTATTTGTCCACTAATGTATATGAGCATATAAATACATAAAAACTATGTTCCATGAAAAAATGTTTTTATATATGCTTTCCTACATAAATCTTATGGAAATAATTGGGATTATTAAAGAACTTGTATCACTGAACATTTTCCTCATGTGCTAAAATACTCACCTGTTGTTCTAATTCTCCAACAGCATCATTTGTAGGAGAGTTCATTATTTCTTTACTCATCAACTAGAAAATTAAAATAGTAAAATTAAGTACAATATAATATTTTAAATATAATATTTTAAGGGGAAATATATAAAAGAAAAGTAAAATGATTCTTATTTAGCTTTTTTCCCTTAATTTGCATATCCTTAGAACACTATCCAAATAAAAATTTTATTAGAGAGCTAATAATAATGTTCAAGAATATTTATGAGGATATTAAGAACAAATTGTGCTTGAAATATGTAGACATATTCAAATATTTGTGTAATGAAAAATTACAAGTTCCAAAATTGCTAAATAAAATTGAACACATTAAGTGAACAATAACTTTTGAAAATCAATTTTTGTATAGCATAAATTGACACTTTTAAAATACAACCTTTAAATGAGTAATATGGCAAAATTCTTAATTTTAGAAGTCATTTTAAAAGTAAAGAAGGGTCCTCTAAAAGTACCTTTTTTGCACATGCAAGGCAGACTTATTTATGCAAACTCTGACTATATGGAAGCTACTGAAGCCCTGGGTGATATCTTCCCCTAGATTAAGCCCCTTCCAAAGTGTGTTTTTCTTCTATTTTCTCTCTAATCTCCTTTGCACTCCACCTTATCTGTGCCTTTTAGCCTGATAAAGAATAAACACTGGACCCATGAATCCTGAATTTTTTGCCTCTCCTAAGATAATCAGGATCACTTAATTCCTTGGCTATTTGGCTCCAAAACTTGAATACTACCATATTTTGCTCATGAATCTAATATTCTCAAAGTACAGATGGTATACATGAACTACAATGTCAGGAAAGTAATTAAAATTTCCATCTGCACAAAGGTTGCTTCTCCTGGAAGTTATTTAAAAGACCCTGACAACATTAATTTATCAACCAGCTTTTAGAATCAGAGGTGCTAAAATTAGGCTTAAGGTCTTTTATGATATTTTGGGAGAAAAACTAAGAAGACTAAGTAAACCCACTGGAAAGGGTGAGTTTATAAAAGAAAAAATACAATCACCCGCAAAATTTATAACTTTAGTATAACACAGTTCAGGATTTTTATACTTACGTGAATATAACTTACCTCTTGAATAGCAGTCATGACCACATGTTGAACAGATTCTTCAAGTGTCATTATATTTTTAATATGTTCTATGATTTAAAAAAAATTCAATCTGAAAAAAAATCTACTCTTTACCCATAGTACCTTAACAATTCAACAGGATACAAAAATTCATTTACCAAAAAATCTTTTATGCAAATATGTTATTTGTCCACTAATGTATATGAGCATATAAATACTATGAATTGTATGTTCTCCAGCTAAAATGACTGCCCCCAAATTTTGATATTATTTTCTAATAAATTTATAGAAAACAAATAAGCAGAACAGAAAATATCAATATTTTTAAATGTTTTTTTCCCATAGAATAAATTCTCAAATTTTCTTACAAGGTAAAAAGAAAAAATTATAATTAATGTCAAAATAATTTAGGCCCAGAATGTTTCATTTATCACCTATTTACTTCACTCCAGGAAGGTATTCAACTTGACTTACATAGCCACACAGCCTTCTGTAAACATTTGCTCAGAACCTAAAAATTTCACCACAAACAGATCCTTTCACCTTCCCACAAATACACATGCAGTATTGTCAAGGCAATTTGTCCCAACAGGAAATGAGGAACATAAGAAAGAGCCCTTAATATATTTGCAGTTTTAAATTCACTTCAAATATATGTCCTCCAGCTAAAACAACTACTTTAAAACTTCAAAGACTTGTTATTTTCTAATACATATATTGCTTTAATGATTCTTCTGGGAAACTTCTAAAAGTCCTCCAAATCTTCTTATCATTTGTGAATCCAAGATTTGAATAGAGTCTGATAGGTCTTGGTATGCACCTGACCACTAAGTGCTAAGGGGCATGCACAGACCATGGAATTATTTCTTGTTCATGGATTTTCTACATAACGAATTGTTTCAAGTCTGCTGAAATCTTCATAAAAATAATCCCCTTTCCCATCAAGAAGAGAATTTTTAACCAAACCAGTTCATTCTTTTAAGATTGAAATTGTTGTAACACCTTGGAATCATTTTGAAAATAATGTCTCATGTCAAAAGTACAAAAGTGTGGAGGATGTTTTATAACCTGGATGTGATTTGTTTTTAAATTTTAGTCTAATGACTAATAGATTTTCCATTCATTTGCTCACACTTAAAAAGAGAATTCAGACATTTTCAAAACTAAATCCAATTAGATGCTTAGATAATCCTGATTTTTTAATAACAAAATGGAGCTATTTCTTTATATTTACTACCTATTAAACTTTCATCCGTATATCCAGATACTGGATTTCCTTTTAAAATATGAAGACAAAATTGCTCAGTGGTACTTAGAACTAAATTATAAACATTCTACATATTTTATTGAACTTTGCAGGATACAACAAAATCATCATTTTCAGGAAAAATTACAGCTTAAGTATCAATTACTGGAGTTATACATGAATTACTACTTGTCAGAATGTGACTAAATATTCTGGAAAGTTTTTAAAATTCCATAAACAAATATCCCTCAATTTTATGAAAATATCCAATAAGAGATCTTTTGACATTTTTCATGAGGAATAAAAGTCTATAAATAAGTACTTACTTGCCCCCATATTCCTCTTTATCTTTAATGACAAAGAGGAATATGAAAAGATATAAAGAGATGCAACTTAATATAAGTTTTCTGATATCTAATCTCTTTTTAAGTTGATAAACTACCATTGATTACATATCATTTTCTTTTAACCTTTATGAGTTAATTCTTGTTGAATCTACTCTGTTTTTTATCCTTCCTTCATCAGTTAGATGATGTTGAATGTGGTTTCTAAAATCTTGACTTGAAGCATTTTTACAAAATTAAGCAACCGAAATTCTTCAATAAAGGTGGCATATTAAGACCAAGTTTATATTAAATCATGAAAAAGAAAATCAGCATCAAAACTGTCACCACCCAGACTGACACAGGGAAGGAGATTTGGGTCTGCTCAGTTCATCATTTTATTCATTTCACGTAACCATAAGTGATATTTTTGTACTCAGCAAGATACCGGATCACTACGTTTGAACATACAAATATAACACACCAATTTCATTATATTATCAGACTGCTTATCATGATACACTGGACAGGTATTCTTCTAAAAAACAGGAGAACATTATCTGAAGAAGCTTGGATTATAATTTAGTAACTGAATATTTATTCATGAAAAACTAAATCAACCTCAGGTTCTTACGTACATTATAAACTATTGGATGAATAAGTACAATTCACTGAATATCTACTTAAATTCTAAGAACTGGATTAATTAAACCAAGCACTAGATACTTAAACCATCTTATACATGCTAAGATACATTTAATTTAGCCACTGAATATCAGAATCCAGGTACATATAGGACACTCAAGATATGTAGCTTATCAATGGCAGAGAAGGGCTAGATTTCAGATCTCAATTTTACATTTCAAGGTGCTTTCAGCCAAAATTAAATAGTAAAGTTAAATGCAATCTTGCAAATGCTGGCAACAGAAGTAGTTTTTTAAAAGTAGAATTCCTCAGTTGACTGAATTTTACTTACCTTGCTTCTTTTCACAGTTTACCGCACAACCTAAAATAAGCTGTAGCAACCTCCCAAGCTCCACAGAATTCGAACATTCAGTTATTTGGTTTAAATCGGGAATAAGTTCTTCAGAAATCTGCTGCCCCAAAAACTGGAGAATCAAAATAATACAACATATCACTCACTTATGTAGGCTACAAATAGTTTACAACATTTAACTATTAAAAGGAAAATTAATTATAATTAGGTTTATGAAACAACTCAGATAAATTAACAAATGATAAATCAATAATCACTTATCAAAACCAGTTGGCAAAATTAAGTCAAAACTGTTGATCATTAAGCAATAAATTCTATTTGAAAAAATAATTTAAATAGCATCAACAAAGTAAATGTTTTTTGCAAATACAATACATTTAAACTTTAAATCTAATAATTTTCACAAAATTTGAGTTCTCTAAAAATGGCAATATTTTGATTATGAATTATAATAAAATAAAATATTACAAATAAAAAGCCAAGCCATTTCTCAGGGTCAATATAATTATCACATAGCATTTTGTATTTGAAGGCAGATCTTTTTCATACCTCATGGTAGTAACTCATAATTCCTTGAAGTACTTTCTTTAAGTTACTAGCCTAAAGTGACAAGAAACAAAAAAGAATATGAAATAAATTTTTTTCATATTAATAATGAAAGAAAATCTATGCCAAGGTGAAAGACAATAAAAACTTTCCCCTGATAAAAAAATTGTGGTACAGTTCTTTAGCAAGAAATTACAAAAATACAACGTGCAATAAACCTAATAGAAATTCAAAATGTATAATATAAAAACAAACAGAATTTTTTAAAAAAATAGACAAAATCACAATCAATTTTAGAGATTTAAGGACTCTTTTCTATGTAACTGATAAAATAATTGAACAAAAAATAAAGATATAAAACATAAACAAAAGTATCAACAATTTTGATATAATCCACATTCATGGAACAAATTAAAAAACACACATTGTTTTCAAGTGCATATTAAACATTTACCAATAGATAGAGGTCATAATATACGTCCCAGTAAATGTAAAAAAAAATTTCTTGCATTGATGCAGGTATGTTCCCAGACAAAAATGGAATTAAATTAGAACTCAATCAATTTTTAAAAAGGTATTTAGAATTTGAACTACCTACTTCTAATTTACCCATAGGTTAAAAGAGAAATCACAAGGGAAATTACCAAATATTTTAGACTGAATGAAAATCAGAACATAGTACATTAAAATGCATACAATTTGGCTTAAGCAATTTTAGTATTGGGGGGGGAAGGGCCTAAAATTTAATATTTAAGCTTCCACTTTATAAAGCAAGAAAAAGGAGAACATATGTTAAGTAGAAGAAAGGAAATAAGAAAGATCAAATAGAAAATGAATTAAATAGAAAACAGTTATTTGAAAAAAACTGAAAAATATCAAGATATTAAGGAGAAAATTTTTAAAACATACTAATTTTAGCAAAGAAAGATCATACATCATTTAAAGATCATGGTCATTAGCATATTTTTAGCATAGTTGTTAGGAACAGTTTTTTGAGAGGTGTGGGATAGCCACTGAGCTATATATACATATAAAAGACCAAGCTATACCACTAAAATAAAAATATAAAGCTAAAGGTTAAAATGTTTTTATTACATTCCCAATCCTGTTACTTTTTTTTTATTTTGAGACAGTCTAAGTTGCTGACGCTAGTCTTGAGTTTGCAATCCTCCTGTCTTAGCCTCCCAACCTGCTGGGATTACAGGTGCGTGCCACCATGCCCAGCTTGTTTAAAACAATTATATGCCAACAAATAAAACAATTTATATGAAACATATACCCTATAAGACATAAAACTGAGAAAAGAAAAATGGTTTTTAAAATAGAAAATCATGTTTTCAGTTTCTACTAAGACCAAATACACTTATAAAATTTAGCAATTCCACTCAAGAATTTTCCCAAGAAAAATTAAAATGTTTGTAAGCAAAGACTAATATGTGAATATTCACTGCAGTTACAATCTTAATAGCTAAAATCCCAAACAATTCAAACATCCATCAATAGGTGAAGAGCTAAATAAACTGTGATGACATCAAAGTAAAAAAAAATAGTATACACACACAAAAAAACTAATATAGGCAATATGAACGAGGGAATGAGTCTCAAAAACATAATAAGTCAAAGAAACCAGGCACAAATAGTACACATTCTATGGTTACATTTATGTGGAATTCTAGAAATGAACTCTATAGTTACAAAAGCAGATAGCAGATCTGTAGCTATTTGGGGCCAGACATAGGGTAAGGAGGTGAAGATTAAGTGGGAAGAAATCTAAGTGCATATTATTATTTAATCGAAATGCTTTATATTTAATTATGATGATAATTACATGACAGCATATGTGTGTCCAAAATTCAAGCTATAAACAATAAAATGCACTCACAAGTTAATTTTTTAAAAAGGATTTAGTCAAGTTTTGTGCAAATTTTAGGATCACCATTTAGAATAAGGTGTTACTCCCATTTATTCTTCATACCTTTATTCTCCAGTTGTCCCCAACATCCTCTTTAATTCGGCTTAACCAAGATTCATTGAACCAAGCTATATCACTAAAACAAAAATATAAAAGCTAAAGGTTAAAATGCTTTTATTACATGAAAAATATCAAACTGATCAACAGAGAACTTAACTTTACAGCTTAAAATTTATCCTTCATGAGATCAGGAAAGGTTTAAATGAACCCAATAAATTTTCTGTGATTCTAAAGAATTTCACACTAAAATAGTAATTTAAGTCATTGACACCTTAAATTTAACAAACATGTACTAAACATTTTATATGAGGCCCTGCTAACAGGAAGGTCTAAAATACCGCCCATGAAGGGTAAAAAGAAAATAAACATTTTAATAAGTGAGTACTACGTATTAAACACTGTGCTTGATGTTCTTCCATGTTATTTTATTCAAACATCACAGTAACTTGGCAAAGGATATATTATTTTTCTCAGTCTTCCTATATTCAGGGAATTGAGGATGAGAGAGGGAAAGTAATTTGCCATAGGTGACTAGTACATGGTGAAGCACAAAATGAAGCTATTTGAGTGAAAAAGGAATAAAATGAATTTAACTGAGGAATCTACAAACAAATTTAGCTTTAATTAGGAGTAAAGTTATGCATTGATATTGAAGGTAAAGACAAATAACTGCTATGCCAAAACTATATATTTAATAAGGTTTTAAAGAAAACATTTGACTGTATATAATGAACTATATGTAATTATATTAACAGATTACATTCTAGAAAAATATTTGGATCCTTGTTCTGAGCAAGGAGATGAGAGAGATTAATATGAAAATGAATAATTTACTATTTTGACTCAGAAATAATAGCTATTAATGGAAGAAAATAAAGAGCGCAAATAATTACACTCAAGGAAGAATAAGATAAAGACTCTAACAGTTTAAGCTATAATATCACAGAATGTTAGTGCTAAAGAGATCTTAAAAGTCTCATCTAAATTTTTACTTGATGGATGGTTTAGCTATAATATAAGGGGAAAAAAAGAGGTTCTTTCCCAAAGTTGTGTCTTAAATTTCAATATGCAAAACTGAAAACTTTTAACACTGTGCTTAGCCTTTCTGAAATCATTCTGCTTTATGTGTTCTAGTAGAGAACATACCACTTTCATGCAATAAACAAAAAAATGGCTTCACCATTTTCACCTCATTTATTTGGGATTTGTAACTATTTTTTTGAGTAAATTTATGTTAATTTTAATCAACTTTTTCCAAATGCCAAAACTACAATTACCAAAACAGCTTAGCTAAAAATAAAATTATGAACTGCTAACCAGGTATTTATTTGAAATGACTAAATTTAATGAATCATAGTATTTTCCTTTTCATTAGACTAAGTAATAAAAAAGTCCTAGAAAAAAAGACCAGCTGTGATGAACAATTTTATGTGTTAACTTGGCTGGACCACCATACTCAGAAATTTGGTCAATCTTTGATGATATGAATTTATTTTTTCAGATAAGACTAACATTTAAAATCAGTAGACTGAGTAAAGCATATTATCCTCCATAATTTAAGTGGGTCTTATCCAATCAGTGGAGGGCCTCAAGAAACACTTCAAGACAGAGCAAATTCTGCCAGCAGACTGACTAATGACTCTGGCTGTTCTTCTTCAGGTCTCCAGTCTGCTGATTTACTACACAGATTTTGGACATGCAAGTCTTTGCAAAATATTAAAATAAATATTTGTGTATGTGTTTGTTTGTATATACTCATGCACATGCACACAGACATCTACCTCATTGGTCCTGCCTCTCTGTAGAACCCTGACTATAAACCTCTCTCTCTCTCTCTCTCTCTCTCTCTCACACACACACACATCTAAGTATGTGATTTTACGCTGTAATTAGTTTTAGAAATTGAACTTAAAGATTATCTATTCTTGTTATCTAGCTTTTTCAAAATAATTATCCTTTTATCTTACATTTTTCCATGTAAATATTTCCATTCCAAATCATCTCTATCCTTGAGAAATACTTTCAAATTTCTCCATAAGAATAAATTTCCTACTTTCTTTCTTATAAGCAAATTCACACCTTTTCAAACAATTATGATGGCAGCCACTATGAAACTTGATATTCAATCTCAGAAATCTTTGGAAATAACTGATATAAACTTTTCTTTCTCCTCCTCCTCTTCTTTTTTTTTGCTTTGCCACATCTGTATACCTCTTGTGCCCCCAACAATGAACTGCTTTTCTTATATTTCTTAGAACTTCAAAGCCACTCAAGGAACACCAAATAAGAAAGGGAATAAATGACTAAGTAAAATGTAATCCTACTTTTCTTATATTTCTTAGAACTTCAAAGCCATTCAAGGAACACCAAATAAGAAAGGGAATAAATGACTAAGTAAAATGTAATCCAGTTATTTTCTAATAAAACTAAGTTTAAAAAAAACACTACGTAATTTTTAACTCCACCCATGATATTTGTCTTCAACAATTTTATTAACTAAATTCAGAGAGTAATTAATATCTAACTGGTTACTATAAATAATAGTTGTGTCCCTAAATGAATACCCTGAGACTACTTTTTATTCAATAATCAAAAAACCTTCTGTGATTATCAATACAGCAAAATGTGATCTGTATTTTGGACACACATATGAACTTTCATTTTGTTAATACTTCAAATTAAAAACCTATCAAAAGGGGTTCAAGATACTTGATGTCAAGTATTAAAGCTGATTAGGAGCAATGATTTTGGAGTCCAACCAAACTGATACAAATCCTAGCTTTGCAGATTTTCTCATTATTTGACTTTCCAAAATTCAATGACACTTCTCTACACCTCTGTTGTCTTATATAAACTGAGGATAAAAATAATATCTACCCCATAGAATCCTAAAAGTTTAATGAAATAATCTATCTAATGGAGTATAATGGGGTATATAATGATGTATTTAGTAATTACTAAGATTTGGTTATCACGTTGTATCACATTAAATGCTCAAATATTTTCTGAATGAACAAATAAATGCTTGATGCTTAAGGTTTTTAAATATTAAACATTCTTTTTCACTCCTCTCTCTTGCAAAAAATATCCAAAGACAATAGTAACAAGCATAGAGGTAATCTGGTTCCTTAAGTAAAAAACTAAGCCGTTCTTTTTGGGAAGTGGCATGCATTCTTCACACTTCTTGTCCCCCAAAAAGATATGTTTAAGCTCTAACCTCTGGTATCTGTGAACATGACCTTATATGAAAGTAGCATCTTCAAAGGTGTAATTAAGCTAATTGAAATCATGATGAATTTGGATGGGTCACAAACCAACATGACTGTTGCTCGTATGAGAGAAGAGACACAAATGCAGGCATGGTGGGAAGATGGCTATGTGAAGACAGAGCAGAGGTTGAAGTTATGCTGTCACCAACCAAGGAATGCCTGAGACTACCAGAAGCTGGACTGGAAGGAAAGATCTGCTAGAGGCTTTATAGGGAGCATGGCCCAGCTAATACTTTTAATCCTTTAAGGTTCTAGAAGTATGCAAGAATTAATTTTGGTTGTTGTTGTTTGGCTTTTTTTTTTTTTAATTTTGGTTGTTTTAAGACACCCCATCTGTGGTACTTTGTTATGGCAGCCGTAAAAAACTAATACCACTGTAGTTACAGTTTTTCTTCACATGTTTTTTAAATAACAGAAGCTTCGACAGGCATTTTTAAAAGATAGATACTTACTATATATTCAAACTCAGGATAATAATTAAGAAACTGAAGAACCCTAGTAACAACTCCCTGACTCCCCATATCTAAGTCTTCATAGCCTGAACACCACTTTTCAAGAGTTTATTATTTAGAAGCATATCTAGATATAATAATATCCATATATAATAATATCTATCTAATATGCCTAAAGGCTCACCATAAATAATTATCTATAATTTTGCTACCTCTTTAAAAAGCAGAATTTCTCTTCTCACTTTCAGTAACAACCTTTATTGTGATTTGATGAGTCACCAATAACATTTGTTACAAATTGTAAAATATAAAGTACTTTGCAATGTTCAAAGAAATATTATAAAATTAGCCCTCTGAATAGGGATATCGATACTGTGATCCAACCAAGGGAAGATGTATGCTTTAAGTCTCACTACTCAGCATTCAGGCTTCTGAAAAGCTCCAAAATGGAAAAGGGATATAAAATATCCCCTGAATGATAAGGCTTAGACATGTAACATATAAAAACAAGTAAAAAAAAAAAAAGCAAAAACAAACAAACAAACAACATCAACAAAAAGAGAGATTTAGGCCTAAGTGTATTTTACTGGTCATTTGTAAATGAATAAAGAAAGTTTTATGGTTGGCTGACTTATTCTTCTTGCAGAAAGCTATTAGAAGACAGTATTGGCAGTAACAGCAGAACCCAACAGGTTGTAGGGAAAAAAATGAATTGTTGACAAAAGATACAGTTTAGATTTTATTTACCTGATGCAATGCTAAAGAGGACGGGAGGTCAAAGAGGCATATATATTTGATAATCATGGTTAAAAAAAAATAGGTCTCTTCTATTATTTCATGACATAAATCTAATAGAGCTATCAAAAGCTTCCAATAATACAGAAATGGCATCTTTGGGGGCTAGGGTTGTAGCTCAGTAGTTGAGTGCTTGCCTCCCATGTGTGAGGCACTGGGTTTGACCCTCAGCACCACATAAAAATAAATAAATGAAACAAAGATAATGTGTCCAACTACAACTAACAAACAAAAGAAAGAAAGAAAGAAATGACATCTTTGGATGGCACTGTGGAAATAAGTAAACACTAGTCTTACGTTCATACCAACCACAATATATCACACAAAGAGGAATCAAGGTATATATTCTAACAACAAAAAACAATGATGATTTTCCAAAATCATCAAGAAAGGACCATGTTGAGATTGTTGACTCTGACCAGTTAAATTAATTTCAAAATCAATCGGAATATAAATAAAATATTTAAGAAATATTTTGTAAGAGAGGTAAGACATATTTTATAATGACTGCTACTCTCTTTCCATTGCCCAAAATGTTAAGTATTTATCTTTCAAAATGTTTATTTTGGATTAACTCTAAAATCTGTATGTTCACATAAGATTATTCTGAAGATTCCAAATAACTAGGATTTTAATATCATTTAAGTTGCTTTTCTGAGAAAAGCAAGAGTTTTTGCAAACCCATTAATGTGAATTACAGCAAACCTTTATAAGATGGTAGTAATGATTAAATAAACAATAACTGACAATAAAACAATATAGCAGAGATAGAATTCTGGTCTCAAAGTAACCTGATATAAAGTCATCATGTTCATCAATTAATAAATTATGAGTACAGAATTGATCCTATCTGTCCTAGTAAGAGTTCAAAGTATACACTGAACCCTTATGTTTGGCAAATATTAGGAAATTTTGATATAATTATATAAGTGGATCTAGTTCACACAGAATCACTTTATTAGTTGAGGATGCCCAAAATCTGTGACTTCAGATTTCACTCATACATTATTTTACTATTGAAATAAAAATAAAAACTCAGAAATAAATAAAAATATTAATAAAAACTCATTGCTCATAGATTTTAAATTTTAATATTTTAAAATACAGTATTTTATGTTTCAGTAATCTCTATGATAACAATTTCCATAAACTGAAACTTTAAAATGTTAATATCACAAGTTTAAGGAATATCATAAGCAAATATATCATTAGTTTAGTCTTTTTCTTTTATAGTTATTATTAATTTGCAAACAAGTCCAGAACAAGTTTAAAATAAGATCTCTTGAATAAAGAATGTTAATCGTTTATTTAGTTAAGATGTATCTCCATGAACAAGCAAGAAGTAAACTGTTCAAACTGTTAAACTTTTCAAACCTGGCATACTCTGGTTTTAAGGATTCCTTGGTACCATAGGTCTGAATACATCATCAAACAGGATAAAATTTCAATAACCTTTAGAATAAGTCTAGGTATTTGCTCTTCCTTAGTATTGGGTTTCCAATTCTTTTCAGGCAAAGTTTGATCACTACTCACATTTGATGAAGAACTTGTGCCATGGCAACTCCATTAGTCAGCTGTTTAACATCTTGACAAGGCGAGGCAGTCTTGAATGTCTGCAGCTAAAATGACATAAAGTAAATGACATTACTGCTTCATTATCCCTATAGAATAGTGTTATAGAATAAACAGAAAACAGCTAAACATTGTCTTTTTTATTTAAAAACAGACCCTGCCAATCAAATGAAGCTATATTAATAGGGATATATAATATTTTTATAAATATAAACCCTTAACATTTCATAAAATCATGCCTAATATAGTAAAGGATGCATTCACGCCATGTGTAAGAAATTCAGAGCTTCTGAATAATACAAAGCCAGTTGTACAACTCTAGTCTTTAATCTACTTTCAGGAGAATATCAGAAAAAGAACTTTTAAGAAAACACAACACTCATATGAGTTAAAAACTTTACTCATATCATTTGATAGGAAAACACAGGCTAGAAATGTCAAGCCTAAAACTATTTACACTTTATTCATAAACTCTGAAATAAAATAGGACTTCTTCTTATTATCAATAATTAGCATTATAGCATGAGGGATCAAGAGCCCATCCACCATGACAAGTTTTTCCATCCAGTTTGGTTTTAGATATGACTAATTTTTCAAATGTATTAACTTTTCTGTGTACTAAACATTAATACACATTAAAAAGAGAAGTAGAATGATGACATTTTTCACAAAAGCAAATATAAGATAGAAAATATGCTTTCTAGAAATCTAATAATATTATGAAACTTTTCTCCACACACATTCATCTTCTTCACTATTCACTTGTAATTTCCTAAGTTTACTAATTTAACTACTATAAACCAACAGAATTCTCCCCCACCATAATTCACCAAAAGAGGCTCTATGTATTCTGAGGTTCTACAAGTCTGTCTTTATTACTCTAATACAATGACACAAGCAGATAAAAGACAGCCACAGTTACTTTCGAAGTACTCAGAGACACTTTACTGAGTTTCTACTCTATATGAGATACTGTGGTACAGGATAGGGTTACAAAAGAAAATCACCGTTTTCTACACTTAAAGTAGTTTCAGTCAAGTTAAGGTGAGAAGGAAAAGATGGAAGTCATTTTCAGATAATGTTTCATGATTTCAGTATACACAAAATGTTTTGAAATAAAACAAAAGTAAACTAATCTAATTTGGGTCTGCATTTAGAAAAGACTTCTTAGAGAAGATTCATAATGGAAGGACATGAGGACTGAATACAATATTTTCTAAGTAAAGAAAGGGCTTCAGGAAGGAGCTTTAGGACGTAGGAATATAATAAAACTATAGATACATGAGAAGCAATGGTATTTTTAGGGAACATGTATTTGTAGTACAAAGGAGGACAGAAATGGGCAACAATCAAAGGGTTAAAGAAACAGCAGAAGTCAGGATGCAAGAGGGGTCATGATAAGAAACTTGGGACTTATTTTATCCTTAGTTGCATCATCTAACAGTTTCTCTCACAAGATGGTTGGTAAAATTAAATGAAATAGTAAACATATTTAGATATTGGCTAGCACAAATAATAAGCTCATAGCTGTTAGTGCACTTAGGTATGAGTTAGGGTTTCTTAAAGTGTGGGGGTCTAGGACAAATATTTATCAGAAACTATAGACATATTAAATCAGATGATTCCTAAGTGATTCTTATGCATGTCAATTTTTGAAAACATTCTCTGGTTGATGAAAAATAATTGAGAGTACTAAGGAAGACAGTGACATCTTTTATATATTTTGAAGAACTATCATAGTAACTCAAAGCAGCTTTATTCTCTGGTCAAGGAGATCAGTTCCTGCAACAGTCCTGTTAATAAAATGGAGAGCAATGCATAAAGAAATAAGTGTAATGTTGACTTAGAGAAAGAGGGAACAGGATGAACACATGAAATATCTGCTACATAAAATCAGAAAAATTTTGCAACAGAGTTATCTATTATGAATATAACCCACAGGACTTAAGGCATCTTTAAAAGGAAAATAAACCATAGCTCCCATTTTTCAAATTTCCTACTTACACACTAGCTTTTAATTGTAAATTAAAACTCAAATCATTAACTTTTTACAAAATATATATGATTCATGATTTTAAAAAGATAATTTCAGAGGCACAGAATATTAGGCAAAATAGTAAAGAGATATGTAAATGAAATATATATGCTAAGGAGTTGCCTCCTTGCCCTCTATGTTAGATTAAGATCAGTTTCTCTGTCTTATTGCCATGAACACTGGGGTGTCTCCTGGAAGTTCTGAAAATAGCTGCAAAGTAAGTAAATAACAGAGAATATAATTTCATTTGGCTAAACTGAAAGACTTTATAATGAAGAACAGTGAATGAACTTAAAAGTGCAGTGGGTGAAGTAAGGCCAAAGCAGAGGGACAAAAGAGAATACATCCTTTTTCACAGGACTCTTCACAGAGTTAAAGAAGCAAAAATCTCTTTAGTAAGTGACCCAAAAAGGACAGAGTAGGCTTCCACAGGTGTCCATCATAAAATACAGCATTCTAGCAAATAACTACCTTGCTTTCTTTGACATTTCCAAATAAAGCAAATAATAAGAAATGTGAAAATAATGTGAATTATTGTTCCTGAGCTGCTTTAATATAAACATCACAGAAACTGAGTTTTCACAACTGACAGCCAAGAAAAGCTCAATCTTAAATCAACTTTGTCTTCATATTTTCCTCCTTTAACTACTCATTTCAGCAAGATTGATTAGTAATCTACTTATTTTGCACACTTTTTCCCCCCTTCATCTGCTTGACAAAATGTACAAGAACCAAGAGAATCATTTGAAACATGTGGTCCAATGCCCTACTATTACTGGTGAAAGGAAAGCCCAAATACAAGAAATAAATTTCCAACATCACAGAAATAATGTTTTGAAATAAAACAAAAGTAAACTAATCTAATTAGTTTACTAATTAGCAAAATCAAAGTCAACTTCCTGCAAATACTTCTTCAAACTCACACATTTCTTCCATTATGCAAATAATGCCCACATTTATTCTTTATCCCTGAATTTTCTGCTAAGGAGCAGAACATTTCTAAGAAATATTTCAAGAAGAGTTCCAAATCATAAAATACAACCCTTCAAAAATTATCAAAAGAGGCACCCCTTTGCCTAACCAAATTTTCTTGATGATTTATCTGATTCTATTAACATTAACTCCACTGCTCTAGTACTAAAAGAATGGTTACTCCCAAAGTTCTTGTCACTGTCATGATATGGTCCTATCATATGGTGTTTTTTTTTCTTTTACTATATACATTCCAATACTTCTCCTTAACACATACCATTACTTATTAGCACATTAGGAGGCCAGGGATAGCCTGACAAATGTGAATCTTCTTTTAACTCCCTTCAATTTATAGCCAAATGAGACATTACTGTTAGATGGCACTCTGTCATCTACAATTTCTTGTTTGCTTTATAATATTTTTTTTCAAATTTTAAAGAATTTTGCCTTCCATTGTAATTATATACAGCTTTGCCTACTGATCCAATTAAAAATGATATATGCCTTCCTCAGAGCTTTATACTAAGTAGGAAGTCAATAAATTAAAAGAATATATACAGTCACATAACAAAATATCACAATATAGTTCAAGAAAATCCTGTAGTTCACCACCTCACATTGAAGTCGATGACATCATAAAGACAAAGATTACTATTTCAGTCAGATGATGTTTAGAGCACAATGGAACAGATTAGGAAACACCCTTTAATTAGCCACTTGTTTTAGTAAAACATATCATCAAAAGTAATGTTGCCTTACTTCATGACAGTCTTAAATATAGCATCCAAATCTCCTATTTTAAATGAAAACACAGATTAACCATTAGCAAACTGCTTTCAATTCAGAAACCTGAGATATTTGCATTCTACTTAAAGTAAAACTTATTTACTTCCAGCATGCAATTGCTTTAAATTATAGTTATTTCCAATAGACTTCATACATTTCCAGAAATCTTTCAGATTAAGATGAGTTTCTCTGCCTTTCAGATTTCTCAATTCTTTGGGATTACATGCATTAAAAGATGGCTAAGGAATTTCATCAACAGATTAAGGCCTCCTGGTCCGGTCTGTTTACATACCATTCTGCACACGTTCCCTGGCACACAACTGAACAACTGGTTTGGGGGTAAGCATCATCAACATCACCTTGTCAGCCATCAAGCACCATCCTTCTGAAAATGGGCCAAGAACTCTACCACGATATCAGTTCTCTGATGATATCTAAGCAGCTCCAAGTGATAAGATAATCTGTTCACTGGAATATTGTAAAATCTGAAAATAAATCCTACTTCTCGAAAGCCAGCACAACTGAACACAAATCGTAAACACGGATAAATTACACACGGAATGACAAATCCTTTCCTTTAAAGAAAATGCTATTTGGACAGGGAGAGGGCCCAGTGAGAAAAAACAAGGGGAAAGGAGCTTCCTCTCCCAAGACAGCTTTTTCTCCACACTGGAAATAACTCGGAAATATCTTTTAAGCGGCTTCTAGAAAATCTAACGCCCTAGAGCCCTAAAGCAGCACCAATCCAGGAGCTAAAACAGCTAGCCACCTGCGTCTAACCAGAACAAGATGGTTAGGGGTGGAGGTTGGGTTTTGGAGCAGGTCTTCACTCCCAAGAAATGCAAAGGTCCCCAAAGGAAGGCTACCAATCAGAGCGGACAGGAGAGTAGGTTAGCCAGAAAGTTCAGGGCTTGGGGTGTGGGTCAGGCAGGGAGGAAAACCCAGAGGGAAGAGGGAAGGGGATGGGCAAGGCTCCTGTCAAAGCTGCCAGGGCCACCGTCCAGATCGTACCCTCTGGCCAGACCCTCAGAGCTTCCTTCACCCACATCGCCGGACACAAACACACGCACCCACACACCTGCCCTGCGCCGCAGGTGGCACTCTCGAGGTCAAGGGCGACAAGCAGTGCGGAAGGCTGGGCACCTGGCCACGAGCTGATGGCCCGCGCTCCTCCACAGACTCACCTGCGGAGAGCCAGGCCCCTCGGCCCCCTCACACTCACCCAGATAATGAGGCTGTCGCAGAGCGGCAGCTCTTGATGCGGCAGCGGCTGCGCCTCCTCCATGGCCGGGACGAAGTCGACTACGCCTCTGACTACGATACCTCCCTCCTCCCGGGCTCCTCCCGGAGCCGGCGTCGACGACCTGCTCGCCGGCCAGGAAAGCTTGGTAGCCAGGCCCCGCGCCGCTCACGCGCGAAACCTCACGCTGCCGACGTC